ATATATATGTGTGGGGGGGGGGGGGGGGGGGGGGGGGGGGGGGACTCAGGTGAATGGAATTATGGAAATTATTTAAAATAAGAATATTTTATCCTTAATGTTGACTGATGAAGTGTGGACAAATTACTTATATTTAACAATCAGAGACTTTGATCATCTGATGTTTGTTGATTTTAACAAGAACGTGAACCTTAAGGTTGTTTTTTTTTTTCCCCTCGTCAACTCCCCTCCCTTCCCACTAGCTAGTAGAACCAAACAGCGAACAATTTTAACAGTTTTGATTTCGGCCATGAATTGAACAGTTTTCCCCTCATTCAACCTCTCCTCTCTTAAATTAAGCAATTCAAATGCTTTGCATTAACATTTTTTTGAAGGAATTCCAAGTCAAATAATAATAATTATAATAGCAAAAACCACAATCACGACTTAGTTCGGATGATGAGGACTTTGAGATCAAGAGTTCAAGAATTGAATGAAAAAAAGAATGATTCTTCCCTTAAAATATATCGTTTTTATGATCAAACACATCATAAGAATATGGTTAGACACACCGTCTTAAATTATAAATTGAATGAATACAAAAGTCAAGAAAAATAAAGTAATGGAGAAAAGGAACACGAGGTTTAATAGAAGAATTAGAATTGAAAATAATAGAAAAAGGCATGAACAATTGAGCATGTGACTAATTTGATCATTTAAAAAAGAGATTAATGTTTTGATCTAATTTGTTGATTTAATCATTATATCAATAAATTATGTTAACAAATTAGCTCAACATTAATTTTAAAAAATATGGCAAGTCTGCAATACTAAAAAAGCAAAAATTGGTATTGTACAATCATTTATTATTTTTATGAGTATATTTATCACTTTTTTGTGGTAGTTGCAATCAATCCTAATTTTTTAGGATGAATCGCAAAGTTCTTAAGGAGAGAGATCGTTTTTTGGGTAAGAAAAATACTTGGTTTGTCTCTCTCGAATAGAAGTAAGTTTATGTCGTTCAAACTTGCGACTTTAAATAAAATCGAGGATAAATCTCAGGTACATAAATCGGTCTCTTACCTCATATACTAGTTAAATCAGTACATACACTTTAACGAGAATTCAAACTCAAATAAAAAAAAATTTAAATACAGTTCGGTCAAATAATTGACTGAGATTTATTGTATCAATCAACATGTTTTTTGCAAAAATTGAATTTTTGATCTCAAAAAAAAAATTTAAATTCTTGAAAAAGTAAAAAATATCATTAAACTAAGTACTAAAAAAATTTGGGAATTATTGAAGGAAAGTGGAAGGTTGATGATCAAAACTCGTGTGGTTTGATGATGAGATCATTCATGGCATCATCATCACATACATACAAAGGTTTGGTCAACCTGTGCATGTGGGGGCAACAATGGAAGGAAATCTTGCACGTATGGGGGGTGGTAATGAGGACCTTTACCCCTACCCTTGGTAAGTAAGTCACAAATAAAAACAAAACAAAAAAGGAAAATCAAGGAAGCCGTGTCAAACTCGTGGTCCGCTGTACCATACCCATGCCCATACAATAGCGTTCCTATTCCCAATTGCGTAAACGGTGGCCTTTTGACTAATTCAAGAACCATTCCAATCTTGAAGAGACATTACATTCTTTTCTAAATTTGTAGGAATCATTTTTGAGCTTTGAATTATAATCTTTTAGGTTGTAAGTTTTTTTTACTATCTTTTGTGTAAAAAAAATAAATAGAGATGTATTTATGTTGTTCAAGTTTATGAATTCGATACATTAATTAAATTAAGACTTGTACTTCAGTAGAGATTTGAATCCATACTAAAAACTTAGATATGATTTATTCAAGTAACTGAGTCTGAGGTTTGAATCCACACTAAATTAAGACTTGTACTTTAGTAGGGACCAAAAAATCGTTGGTCGAAAATTATAATTATAAAGAACATAATCGATTACAAACTGTTATAATCGATCATTATAAGTTATAATTTTTAAAAGTTAAATCATAATTTTTAAAAGTCAAGTTTTAATTTTTAACTAATTTTCAAAGGTGAAATTTTAATTAATTGAGGTTATTTATGCTCGATCGTAGTTGTTACTGCATCTCTTAAAAGATATACCTTAACTTTTAAAAAAAGAAAAACCATCGATATGGTATCAGATTTTTTTTTTCAATACCGTTGTGTTATCTTTTTTTTTTGGAATCTTCCTTTGAAATGTCTTAACTCATAACATATCAATTAAGTATTTCAATAAATATTATTTGAAAAAACAACTTGTAT